GACATGGATACACTGTTGAGTCTATTCGATGTGTATCAGTTCGTATTATTTTTGAATAAGCCTTTAGTAGATATAAGCTTTATTCTGTCAGAATACAAGCGGAAAATATTCCATTATAGTATTCTAAACTAAAACTATCGAAAAACACAAAATCAATTTTTGTACGAATAGAGATTCGAACATGTGAACTTAGTTTTGTAGTTTACTACAAAACTAAATTCACTGTTCTGTATTTATATTGTGTACAACGATTGAAGTTGTGCAATCGACTCGAGCCTTTAGTAATAAACCTTTAGCCTTTATACTAATAAAGGCGTAAATAAAGCCTTTAGTAATAAACATAGAATACTATCATTATTTGGCACTGTTACAATCCAAGATTCAAGTTACGAAGAATACCGCGTAACAAACTAAGACCTTTTATTTGGCATGGAATGGATAGTGCCCAATAACGTCATCTCTGATGTTTCTTGAACTTGAACTTCAAAGTTTATTTTATGCCCAAGAAAACATCTCGTAACAAAGGAAAGCACAAAAAAACCAAAGGCTTGTAAATAAAGTGCCACCACGCGGAAAAGAGAACAACCTTGTAAAATGTACTTTGACTAAGTAAAGCCTTGTAAAATCACCTAATTCAGTTAAATGAAACTGTTACATTAGACAGAAATTATTCGACATGTTTTACTAATGGCATTAAGTATAGACTTTTCTCTTATATATATACATGTGTTTTCATTTCATTTAAGGAGACACATTAGTTTCGTCCGTTTATTGTATCAATTCGGTTTTTCATTCAACGATACAATAAAGTTTGAGGAGAGTCAGATTGCGTAGTAGTGACTTGATACAAGTTAATAATATCATCTTCGTTGAAACATGGGATTGTAGGTGAATTTGATGAAATATTTTTTGTTGTTGTTGACGTCATCGAATCAAATTGATAATCTCTTAATGATAATTGTAGTCCAGTTTTAAGACAAAACGAACGTAGTATACATGCACGACGAACGTGATAATGCTCTTGAAAACTATCAATGTCATCACTAAAATAAAAATCAACATTGATAATTCATATTCTCTTAAAAATTTAAATTTGTACAGTCGGGTGTGGTGATTCGATCAGAATTGGTTGTAACTCAAATCTCTGAAAAATCCACACCTTAGAAAACTCAATCTCTCAAATCGACTAAGAAACTTTTTGCAAACAATTTCAGTGTATAGAACAAATGTTTCTAGACGTCTCTCAGCTCACTACGACATTTTTTCATCAAACTACATTTCCCAAAGCATACCCTTCATAATTTTCTGTTAATTTTGCTTGTTTTTGACGGTTGGAGGCTTTTCGTCACTTGAATGTAGTTTGATGAAAAAATGTCGTAGGGAGCCGAGAGACGTCTAGAAACGTTTGCTCTAGAAGAACGTACAGCGAAACATGAGCAACCACCAACCAAAGCTCATCAAGAGCAACCACTACTGTCACGACGAATGGATAGAGCAAAGCAATCTTCAGTTAATTATAAAAGAAAAGCTAGCAGATCAAATCAATGGAATCCAGCACAAAATCCTGAATTTCAATTAGATGAATCCAAGGGGGAAAGCACGGAATCCTGGAATCCCACGGAATCTCACGGAATCCAATGGAATCCAACGGAATCTCATAGAATCTCACAGAATCCAATGGAATCCTGGAATCCAAAAGAATCCAAAGGAATC